AGCTATCATGTTACTAGTATGTAAATTTGAACCTAGATAGACTCTGCTATTACTTTTTGGGGGTAAGATATTTACTTGAATTCATACTCTGCAGCTTCACGTGCCATGGTAAAATGAGATATTTCGCTGTGCCAACGGGAACCACTGAACACAAAAAGGTCTCATCTTTTAATTGTATATAGCAATAGCAAATGGGATTATAAACCAAGAAATGTTCTTTTTAGAAGACATTATTTTTTACTTTTTCCTTAAATTAAATGACATCAGGAAGGCTCACTCACTATTTAACTTATCCAGCTATCTGAGTGAACCAGGTCTTAAAGTTATTAAATACGTCTTTTGCACGTAATACAATGTCATTGAAGCACATTCTACATTATTTTTATATTGATCAGCTTTTAGATTTATGTCATTTTAGCAATAATTTCTGGAAAGTGTAGCAGAGTTAGCATTATAAATCTGACCCATGTGTAAGTCACTGATTCAGCATGTAATCATGCCTCGGGAACTACGACGTGATTCTAGAGAGTCTAAGGGAAAATCCTAGGGCCTCCACATAGAGCAATGTAGAGAGACAAGAAATTGTAGATTATACTCTTTTTAATCAATAGTGTGATGGAAGTAACCAAGAGAACTCAAGGAGCACTGAGGGTGCATCTAGCAGGTAGGAGTAGACAGAAAAGGACTCTCAGGAAAAGGCATTTCAGTGGAGTCTTGAATTGTCAGAGAGCTGGCAGATGAAAAAGGGCTGAAGAAGGCACTGTAAGAACAAGTATAAAAACACGATGATGCAGGAGACGGGCTGTTGCCCCAGGAATAGCAATGATCCCTGGAGCACAGGACGATGAGAATGAAGAAAGTAATCAAAAAGGTCTCTAAAGCCAATAAATACAGACTTTACTTTTTAAGTTTATTTACTCATTCATTTATTTCATGAACAAGAGAGACAGTATCCTCTACGGGGTCCTCACTCCACAATCCACCTCAACCCCAGCCAGCCTGGATCATGGACACACATGTGCCTAGTACACTAGGAAGGTCTCCGGATGCAAGCCAGCAACCTTTTTGTTGTGGGTCTACAGGGCAAAGCACCACATTCCACCATGCACCATAGCCTGGTCCCAGGCTTCGCAGTTTTATTGATAGTTCACTCTAGCCGGTGTACTGGAAAAGAAAATATGGAGAGGCGGGGGGGGGGGGGGGACAGGAACAATGAGTATACGTCAGCAGTGCTGCTCTGAGGTAAGACATGGGCCTTTGAACTAAGCCTGTTTTATGAGTAGAGAGGCCAGATGGCATGAAAGAGATTTGGGAAATACTGAGTTGTCAGAAAAGTCATGATGTATTTTTTCTGTTTTTCTATGCCAAAATATGCATGACTCTTCTAATAACCCAATAAATATAAGGTAGGTATCAAAGAATGTGGTAGCCAGTATATTAGGTGTTTAAAACTGGAGATGGCTGAAACGCCCACAGAGTACCTGGTAATGAGTGGATGGTAGTGCCATTCATACAGCTGTGGATGGAACGGGCTCACTGGATGGTGATGAGGAGACACAGAGGAATCAATGGAATGAGTGTAGTTTTTAGCACGTAGTTGGAGGTTGCTCTGAGATACTAAATTCAAGATGTCAACTAAACTATTTGGGTCTGAGTCTTCAATTTTTAGAAGAAAGCCTGGGCTGGAAATGCAGATCTGAGATGCAATCTCCCAGAAAAGAGGCAGACCCATGAGCAACACTAACATTCAAGTGGAAATGGACCAGCTGCCTAGGGAGCTACAGACTTAAGTCTCGATTATACAGTTACCCCTGTATTGTGGGAAAGGAGTCTAATTCCTTGAGATGACTTGAACAACTATCTTATTATTATCAGGAATACACACAACAGGTGTTTAAGATTCTAAATTTTTTTTAAGTATTTTTCTTTACTTGTGAAAGAGTTCACATAGATGTATGTGAGAGTAAAAGAGAGACAGAGTGAGAGGACTACCCTCTGCAAGACCTGGTCACACATGACCACTTTCCTCCAGTCCTTCCACCCACTGGATCCTGGGCACTCACACATGTGCCCAGCATATTCCAGGCTGGCCAAGCCAGAAATTCTAACCAGGATTAAATGTAGGATTCTAGCATCTCCTGAGCAGCGAATCATTACCCACCATGGAGTTGGGCCTAAAGACATTTTCAACATTTTCTTTGTTCTATATTGAGGAAGAAAAGAGGCAGATAAATGAAATAGTCTTGGTAAAATATAAGAAAGAAAGAGAGGGGGGAAACAAGTAGGAAGGAAGAAAGGAAGGCAGGAAATAAAGAAATGAATTGACTTGCAAGTATCCCTTTCATCCTTGGATGAAACTGTGACCTTCATACAATGCCCATACCAAAGGAAAGCTTGGAGGAATCAGAAGGTTGAAGAAAACTTGCAACAATGTCTTAAAAACAAGGCTGACCTTAACCTTGAAAATCCACTTGGAAATCTAGTGGAAGAAGTTAGATTTCAAAGCAAAAATTCCTACTGAAATAGAAAAACAATGGAATCACAGAGGGTGAATACGATCAAGGTGAGAGAAATTAAGGTTTAGTAAGTATTACATGGTTAAATTGTTTGGGTTTTTTTTGGGGGGGGGAGTGAACGTTCTTTTTGTATTGGTTTTCTTTAAAAATAGTATTGAATTATAATTGTTTATGAATATTAACAAAAATATTTGTTATTTTTTAAGGTTTGTAAATGTTCTTTCTAAAGCTAAAGCATGCTATGATTCCCATTCCTTGCAGGTTTTTCTATGGCCTGCAGCTGCTGTGATGGGGACACCACTGCCTCCTAGTGGCAAATGAGAAACTGTTTTTGAGTTGATGCTGTTTCCTGCAAACCTACACAGCCAAGAAATGATGTCACATGACACATGTGTCATGAGCACAAAAACAAAAACATCAGTATTTGTTTTGTATATGAAGAGAACCCAAATGAATTCTAAACGATATGGTTACTGAGCAAATAAACACAAATCTTTTCAACACAAGGGTAAGAGCTGAGCTGTTTAAAACTAAAACTAAACACCTGAAAACAATTTGTCAGATAAAGTTACAAATATAGATGCACCAGGCATGAGATTATTAGGCCTTTGCCTATAAACAATTTAAAATGTTTACTTTATTATATCTTTCAAATAAACTGTCTACAGGTGACCCAACAACACAGGCCATTAGCTTGAATTTCAGACATAGCTTTCACTTACTAGTTCATAGATTTCTCTCACATCGATGGTTCATGACTTAACTCTAACAATTCTAGAGTAAATTTGGTGAGCCATTTAAAACTGCTGATATCCCACTTTTTAAAACATATGAACTCGGGCCAACAGGTGGCATAGTTTAAGGCACTGGACTCCAATATGGCTGACTATGGTTCAAGTCCTGGACCTGGAAGCTCGAAAATTATGTTAGGCGCATGTGCATGCATGCCCAAAATCCCAAGAGGAGAATTGAAGAGAAGGGATTGCAGCATGACCATACCCTCATGGGGTGATCTCTCACTTCCTATCTCTCTTTCTCTGTGTACCCTATATCAAAAAATATCTAAAAAACACATAAATAAACCTATCAATTAGATATATAACCTCATAAAAGGTAAAGGCAGGGAAGACAGAAAGCATTGAGAATGAGCTAGGATTTTACTAGCTGCAAATGTAAACAAAACAAGAAATATTAGTAAATAACACCACCTTATAAGTACCTAGAAAATAATTGCCAAAGTCCAGACTCAGAGAAAGTAGAAAGCAGAAGATAAAGAGGATTTCTCATCCCAGCTTCAGACTCACAATCAGATGCTAAACACTGAAAGGCTTTGAGAGCTCTGTGTGAAGCCTTTCCTCAACATGTGCCACTGCAGATGAAGAAATGAACCAAAATACGGCAGTGAGCTCAGGCCCCTGTGTCATTGGTTATTGTCACTTCTGTTGATTGTCCTACTGACTCATTAAACACACGGCCAAGCATGCCCTTGCTTTACAGGCACTACAAGGAAGCCAGCCATTCAGAACAAATGAGTAATCATGCATCACAGACCGCCAACAGGAGCACCTTTGAGGGACCCTCACTGTGATGGAGAATGACCCAAGGCTAAGCCCTGAAATGACCTGAAGCATATGAGCATGATATAAAGAAAATACTCAAAAAGATGCCCCAAATTCTCTCCTTCGTCTATCCCCTTCTCCAACCCCAAACAACATTCAAATCACTAACTGGAGTAAGGCACACTGCTAAATTACCATGCATTCCATGTATCCACTCATTATTACCTTACCTCAAATCAGTTTATCAAAATTCCCAAGAAAGGGAAGAGTCTATGTATTTAATGGTAGAGATAGTAGATTAGGTTAAATATGGACAGTAGGATGTTCCCCAGAATAGTGAGACTGAGTTGAAGCAGTAGAGGATCCAGGGCCCCAAAACGGGAACATTAGAGCAGAAGCAATTCACTAACTGGCAGAAAGGGATGCAAAGTGGATAGAGGCCAGGTGCCCGCCAGCTCCTCCAGCTCCTGCCATTGGAGAAACCAACACTCTTCAAGTACCTAGTTTATAAAGAGACTACACCCCTTCCTAAACCAAAACAAAACAGAATACATTTATCTGACCCTAGACCAATTATGACCCTAGAACCACTCTCAATGATTTTCTACTAGTATGTGTGTGTCTGTGTGTGTGTGTGTGTGTGTGTGTGTGTGTGCGTATCCCAAAGCAGTCAGTGAAGAAGAATCAGCTATCTCATACACAGTCCTAATTCCCCTAATTTCTAAAAGAAGGGCATGGTAACTTGGTAACTGTATAATCAACAAGGAGAAAAAATGTACATGTTCCCATGAGCGCAACCAAGGCACTGCTACAGCTCCTGGACTTTTCTCTTCCCAGCACAGGGAGGTCCCAGACCATGCACATGCTCTGCGTTCTCCTCTCCCAGGTCTCCATGTTCAGCAAGGTGGCCACAGAGCAGACTCACTCATTGAGTAAAGGCATGGATGTCCTCCTCTTGCTCTTCTGCACCATGTTAGCCTGATTCCGCAAGGAGATCCTAATCATGGCTGGCGCCAACCTGCACGGCTCCCCATCCACTTGCATGGGGATAGACTTGTAAGTTAGAAGCATGACTTCTCGGCACTGGTGCAGCCTTTCTCCATGGCCTCCAACTTGCAGGGCAGCCTGTGAAAACAAGAGTCAAAGGCAAGTGACGCTTTAGTCCTTGTCACTTAAGGCCAGAAACTGAAATATATATATTAATTATATTATGTTATATTAATACATCATGATATATAACCAAAGGGCCTTTGATAAGCATATATCAATAATAACACCCTACATCTATATCTTATTTTATATTAATAAATAATTTTATTTGACCATAGGGCCTTTGATAACATATTGGGTCATCAGGAAAGTCATGATGCATTTCTGCATAGAAAAATTAGAAAAATATGTCGGGACTTTCCCGACGACCCAACAGACAAGCCACAGTATAATAGGAAACCTAGACAAGCCATTAATATAAATAAACCAAATATTCAAGCTTTTGATGAACTTTACCATAAATTCACATTGATTACCACTTTTCACTTTTATATATTTCAATCTAAATTTAATTATCTAATGTAGTAGAAAAGTTTTTTGTGTTTAGTCCCACTATATAAGCTATGTAAGTAGAAAATAATATGAAGAAGATAAAGCACAATTTACTAACTTGCAAATTGTATTTATCGCACTTTCTTTTTATTTTTTATTTTTTATTTATTTATGTTTTTTTTTTTTTTTGCCAGGGGGAATGTGTACTTGCCAGAGACAGAGAGGCAGAGAGAGAGGGAAAATGAGAAAGCATCCTCCATGGAGCATGGCCACACCATAGTCCCTTCTGCTCCATTTCTCCCTCCTGTCAGGATGTTGGGTGTGCACACACACACACGCCTAGTGTATTTTTCAAGTCACCAATTCTGGGACTCAAACTACACAGCCATCCATGGAGATCCAGTTACTTTAACCACAGGCTTGAGCCAGCCCTCCAGTTCTTACAGTCTGTCGTTGGTTGATTTTCAAATTTTGGCAGGTTTTTCCTTTTTACCTAAAATCTTCTTAAACTATTCTAACCTATGTAAGATCAATGAAATGAAAAATAATATGAATTATACAATTGAAACATTCTGGAAAGCAAAGCAGTTTTCAGGATCAAAATGAGACACAGTAAAAGCTCAGTTTACCGCAAATGTTACAGAATGGAGATTCAAGTCAATATTAAAGTCTACTGTTAAGAGCAATACATTAGTACAACATCACTGACTTAGTCAAAAAATAAAGGAAGAAAGAAAGGAGGAAGGAAAGAAAGAAAGAGTTCTTAGTATCATTTATCCTTTCAGGGAGGAATGAAAGACACACAATTATAATGCATAGCACACATAGAACACACAAATTTTATTTAATAATATACACACATATGAACCTGCCTATAGTTTGACAGAGTCATCTAATACAAAGCCTATTTTATAATAAAATGTTGATTATTCCGTGTAATTTGTTGAATGCTGTACTGAAAGTAAATACAGAATGTAATCCTTGTTATTTTAAGTCAAAATCATTGTGAATTTAAAAAAAAAAAAGAAATGGCACTTCATAGAACCATAAAGTCAAAAATTTTCTAGAATGATTTTTCTAGAATGAATCATTTACTTACACACTCAGTCATTGATGACAGAAAACCAATTATCTATTTAACCTATCATGGTCAACCTTGTAAGAAATTCAAAAATTTTTTCTCAGGATCAGCAGATGGCATAATGGTTCCATCACTGGACTCCCACAGAGTTGACCATGGCTTGAGTCCCAGCCCCAGCGGCTTGAAACTCACACTGGGTACGTGTGCCCAAAAACCCCAAGAAGAGAATGAATATTTATGATAAGTATAGACACTCTCTGACTTATAATGATTTCTCACTTTCTGTCTGTGTCTCTGTCTCTCTGGAGAGCACATGTGCCCTATAGCAAAAATCTCTTAAAAAAAAAATTCTCTCTGGTGGCACATGATCTGAGAGCAAATCAAAGATACTTCCTGAACTAAGTGCATCCAAAAACGATACATTACCCCAAAACCTTATACTTCACTTTGCTCTGCAGCTATGGCTTAAGATTTATGTCTGATCACATTAAACTCCTCAGTGACAGAGAAAATAAGCAACAGGGATAGCCTACAACACTAAAAGACTAAATAAAAAAAAAAAGGTTTTTTGTCTTTTTTTAAAATTATTTCTTCCAAGAGCAAGAAAGACAGAGAGAGAGAGAAATAAGAAAGATAGGCACCGCCCAACAAGGTCTTGACACCATACTCCACCCCCACGTTCAGCCAGCCCTGGGTCAGGCATGCCGGGCACACTCAAGGAAATCTCCAGACATAATGTCTTCTATCCTCACATCTCCTCTGACTTTGACTCTCTCACCTCCTTCTTGTCATTCTAAGAATCCTTATGATTCCATTGGACCCACTTGGATAATCTCTTTATAAAATATCCTTATTTTATTTACATCAGAAAAAACTCTTTTGCTCAACAGTATTGCTTTTTGCAGGCTTTGGCAGATGCTAAAATGTATATGCAAATGAAGAAAACTTAGAATAATCAAAACACCATTAGAAAAATGAAGTGAAAGGGTTTGTACTACCAGAATGGAGACCTACTATGAAGTTATTAGTAACCACGGCAGTGTGGGATGGGCATAAGGGAAAGCAAATCAATGGAACGAAATAGAATCCAGAAGTTGGCCCCCACACACTTGTAAGGCAAAGGCACCAAGCCAATTCTACAGAAAAGAAATATTACTTCAGCCAACAGTGCTAGGAGAAAACCAGATAAATGTATTATTTAAATGAATGGATAGCCTTACATGAGAAAGAAAAATCTGAGCTGAGCTGAATTACAAATTACACATAAAAGCTAGAACTATAAGTCTTCAAGAAGAAAATGAAAGAGAATATCTTCCCATCCTTTTTTAGAGCAATCAAAGATTTTTTTAAGTACAAAGCACTAACACAAATTAACCCTCCTTCGTAAAGTTGTAATTGATAAAAATGTTTAAAACTTATTTTGATCAAAACAAACATGAAGAACACAAAAAGAAGAGCATAAACTGAGAGAATAGGTCTGTAATAAAAATCTGTCAAAAGACATGTATCCAGAATATACAACTCTTGTAATTCAATGATAAAAGATAACCAATTAAAATATGCAAAAAAAACTAAGATACTTTTTTAAAAGAAAAAATAAAAGGTAATGATAAATATCAACTTGTCTTTACTGTCATTTTTGTGTTGTTTTGTGGAACATAATTGTCTGTTCCAGAATTTTATCTGTATAAAATATACATAATTCCTTTATATCCTTCTAGGGACAGAATTTTACTCTCTCCCCTCATTCTGTTCATCAATACGCATGATACTGAGCACTTATGTCTCGATTTATTGAGAAATATTCAATACCCATGGAGAATTAAATTTAAACTTAAATTATACTATATATTAAATTTAAAACACTCTATATATTACTGTTGGGCAATCAAACAGAATAAAATTTCTATAAACCAATTTTATAATTCTTACTCAGAGTCTTTAAATATTTACATCATTGAATTAGTCATTTCTTTCCTGGGGATTTATCATGAGAAAACACTTTGAAATGTGAATGGAGGTTCATAAGCAATTATATTAATTACTTGATTGTTTATAATGCCAAACACTGGATACCTGGAAGTCTCATAAAGGAAACTTTTTTATAAAGGAAAAATTATTATAGCAACTGGGATTTTTTGTTTTGTTTTGTTTTGCTTTTGGAGAGGTTTTTCGCTATAGGGCGCATGCGCTCGCCAGACAGACAGAGAGAGACATAGAGACAGAAAGCGAGAAATCACCCCCCAGGGGGAATGGTCACGCCGCAATCCCTTCTCCCCTTCTCCTCCATTCTCCTCTCGGGATCTTGGGCACGCACACACACGCGCCCGGCATGAGTTTTAAATCACCGGGTCCAGGACGCAAACCGCAGTCGACTACGTGGGAGTCCAGCAACATAGCCATTACGCTAACTGCTGGTTCCAGCAACTGGGATATATTTATACAAGGAAAGGATGGGTGGCTCTTTGCAGTATGGAATGTATTTACAATAATATCATTTCATGTTTAAGACATAAACAATAAAGCATTCAGGAAACGCATTGATATGTAAATATTTATAAGCCACATGATGTTTACACACATTTCATGCCTATATGTATTATCAAAGTAAGCAAACAGTTAATATTACTTTTCTCTAAATAGAATAAAAGATATTGTATGTTAAGTATAAAATTTCAACCCTAGGAATTCCTCCACGTAATTTATTCTCATTGAAAAACCTTTTGCTTTCCTAATTCATAAATATAAAAGAGCATACACACTTTAATTTCAATTAATAAAGAGAGAGCAGTATGTACTTGCTTTAAAGTTGATGAGACTAAAACCTTTGGACTTCATTTCAAATGGTAAATTAGGCTTTAATTTCTCTATCTCAATAGTGCTTTGAACTTTCTTGAGAAGTTTTAAATTAATTTGAAACAGACTCAACATGAAAGGACCGTCACAACTATAACAGCAGAAAATTGCAGCAGAAATAAATACAAATTATAATGTCGGATTATGGTCTCTGTAAAAATCCAAAAACATAATCAGGTTGCCCAGCACCCATTGAAGAATAATCTTAATTAGTAAAAATGCATTTCAACCAATAACATGAAGACTTTTGCTTTAAAATTTGCAATTACAAGATAAAGAGTCTAAAAGAAAGTCTTTTTTTCCCTCATTCCAGTATTTCTATTTAAAAGTCTATAATGCCACTCTGAATTTTCTGTTCTTTGATTTGTATTTAAATTATAATCATTATACAAATATATTTTAGTTTATTCCATGATCTTAAAAGTTTATAGCCTTTAATTATTATGCTTTAGACATAACAATTTCTAAGAAAAATAATTTGTTTCTAAAAAAGCTTGACCTCCTAGTTACAGTTTTAAATTATACAGCAGTTATTTTATGCAAAAATATATACACACACACCCAAATTACTACACTCTTGTGTTTACATAATCATCCTAAACAGATGTGTTAGCTTTTCAATAATTTAACTTCTTGGAAATATAAT